ACAGATAGTTATATATGGTTGCAGAAAACAGAGTCCTGACATAAGTTTTCTAGATGATGCGACAACTTCAACCTACAGCAGATATCTTTTTTGGTCCTGAAAAGGGGCAGAAGGTGGAGGAAGAATATTAATTGGGCTTGTAGTGAACACCAATGAGTTCATATGTGTTGATGCAAATATCAAGAAACCAAGGGTTATTTGCATATTCGACTGAGTGGACAGTTGCTATGGAGTTGTAAGGACCTGTGATATCTCAATTTTAATTGAATAGTCTTGGTTGCAGAAAAGGTATTTCCAGATTGCTATTTTAACTTCTGTTCCTGTGTTGATCATCGGTCAGGGCTAGTGGTATAATGTAAGGTTCTGGCTTAACCTGCCGTTTTTTATTTTGTGGGTTTAATTAATTTTTTGTTTGATTAAGAGTTTAATTGGAGATTCTTAACACCTGCAGATTTCAAAAATAATGCAGGGCAGATTTATTCTAGTGTCCCTTCATAGTCTCATTTAATTGGATCCATGATTTAAAGCTCATTGACAAAAATTTCAGTCCTAATTTCTGGTAATCTGGGTCTTCTGTATGTTATTCGCCATCAAGGCTCTTTGTGTTGGCATAGATGTTTCTATGGGAATCTTTATGGCAGACAAGTATTGGACCTTTAAGTGCAGGCTGAAGGTGCAGCAATGGTGGATTCTATTGGTAAAAGTTTTGAGTTAACACGATGAACAGTGACTTCTAATACAACAAAGTACAATAATATAGGAAATCAAACCAAAATTGAAGAATCTCAGAGTGGCAAGGTGGGATATCTCTTGGTTCATCTGATGGATTTCTCTACTAATTCTCACGCAAATGGAGTTTGAAGAAATTTTTCAAAAGAATCTGAACTAAATAATGTTATCCAAGTTAGTCCATTACTTGAATTGTTCTGGCTACGCAGTTAACTATGTCAAACAGAGGATGGAAGGGAAAAGGTTAGTCAAGGTTATTTGGGGAATACAATTATATCTCAGCTTTGAAGCCTAAAGGTGTTGTCTCAGCCTTGTTGGTTCCAGCAACTGGAGCTGTCTACTGGTCTGAAAGCTATCCTGGTAAATTTTTTTTCCAGTCCTTGATTTTGGCATGAAAAGATTTTAATTAATTGGAGTTTCCTATCTCATTATCTCAAAAGACCTTTCAAGTTGCTTTCTTGGCAGATGCAATTTCCATTGTTATTGTTCTCAAAAGTGATTTTGCAAGCATTTTTTATTGGATGAAGGGAATCCTTCTTGCAAATTTATTGCTGCCTTCAAGTGGAAGATTTCTCCCACACAATAAAAACTAAACCCTAATCACTGGGATAAAAGGTTAACAATGGTATATATTTTAAACTGACTTATTTTATTAGTAAACTTGACTCTAACCCGGTGTTGGAACTCGAGATTGATCTATATTTAATACCCTAAAAATTTTTACTCATACATATACAAATTTCCTTATTGTTACTTCATTTCTAGAAATAATTGTTTTGCTTATAAATTTTAAATTAATTAATTGAATAAATCATTGGTAATTAACTAATCACCAGACTATGTTCTTTGTCTATGTGTTATTGAACTTACACTTTGGCTTTTTTGTGGGATGACATGCCAGAGGTAGGCAACGCACTATCCATTCCGCAGCAAAGGTTTTCTTTTTTTCTTTTATAAATCTCTTCTTGTAAATTTTCTTGATGATCATATGATATAAACCACGACAAATCTTTTTTATTTATTTAATTTTGTGATCAGATGAAGAAGCTTTGTATCTACCTGCTCACAAGCAAGGCCCAAGCATCCCCAAAAATTACACGGGCAAGCCTCTATATTCTATAACCATTGAAAAAATTATTTAACAATTATTAAAGGAAGTTGATAATGAAAAGCTTTCTTGTATTAACTCTTGATTCAGGTACATGAGAGAACAATAATGTTTGTTTCTGGTATTTGAGTCCAAGTGTTGGTAATTTTAGCTGGACTTGGTTGCGATTTTGCTGCCATATTTTGGAGCAAAAAGAACTTCAAAGATCAGATTTTGGAGATTTTCCTTGAAAAGAGAGTAACGAGCATTCATATGCTCATGCATGAATTCTTTGCATAAACATATTTTTCACATTTTCCGATATATAAAAAATTAATATCATAAAATACTGAAGTGGTCTGGTCTGTAATACGAGGAAGATAAATCTTAAATTCCTGAGGTGACTCAATCTTCCCGGTCTTTGGAAAAATGTTTCAGCCGCGATCTCTCACCTCAAGGGACCAGAAAAGCATTCGATAAGGACGGGGATAACAGCACTACAAACAAAAGGGTCAGGTCTGCAAGAGGAGAGTGGCAAATAGGATGTGGGATAAGAAGAAATGAGGCAGATTTGATAAGAGAAGGAAACGTAATTTGGAAAGGATATTCTTTCACGACATACAGTTTGGGCAGAAGATAGCCATGGCCTCCAGTTCAGAAACCTATCCTGGTACCAGTTGTAGTGGAAAATATCTTAAGGAGTTTTGAAGCTCTTTTCAAAAAGTGTAAAGAAAGAAAGTGCTACTATTTTTCACAACATTAAGTGATACATCTTCTGAAGAAAGCATGCAAGCGAGAGAGATTATAAGTTCAAAGGCAAAAAGAACGCAGTACAAGCAGAAGATAAGTTCGAGTGATGATGGAGATTGGGTAAAGAGACATCACCAATTCATACTAAAGGAACCAGTAGCAATCGAGTTCAAAGGAAGTAATACGGAGCTGTGTGATGAAATAAAAATGGCAATCAAACAGAAACAAAGTGGAAGAAGAAGCATATGGTTGAGAAGGAGGAGGGCTTTTCTTCGTACTACTAGCGGCAACGCGAATTTAAATTTTGAAGTTTCGAAAAGTTTTTGAGTAATTTTATAACAATGCAACTGGCATAACTAAAAAACAGACTACATTCCAATAATGGCAAGTATCATTCTTTGCTTCTATATATATATATAAATATATAATAGAAATAGATAGCCCATTACGAAATTTCCAATTGGCAAATCCTCCAATGCAATCGGATTTCAAAATGATTATATTGGTTTCGGCAAGTTTTCGTAAGCTACAATATTTTTTTTCATTTTTAGGAAAAAAAGAAATTCAAATAGAAATTTTTTACATCCAAAGATTTTTACATCTAAAAAAATTGAATGAGCAAAATTTTTAAAATTAATTTTTTTACAACAGAATTTAGTGGGGTCACTTTAAATATGAAATAAAATTAAAATGAATATTATCACCAGGATCTAATGGGTTAAAATTTCAATGGTTTAATGTTTGAAAGAAGTAAAATAGGAACCAAGAAAGTTGTTAAAGTTTAAATTTCTTAGCAAAAATAAAAAAAGAGAGAAAAGTAGAGAGAGTAAATAAAAGCAAAACATTTTCTAATTGACTCTTAATAATTTCCCTACCAAATTTAAATTAGGTATAAAAAAAAAAGAATAAAATATAATTAATTTTCAATTCTAATGATTTTACCACTCCTTTTAGTAATTTCACAAGATGCGATACACTATCCTATTCCGACATTTATATGATTGTCGCCTCTTACTTCTTGGGGAAAGAAAATCCAACAGATCCGGCTCTCGATTCGATTCCGCTTCTGCTTGGTGGGGTTCACTTCTTTTGCAGATACACAAGTTTTCCGATTTCCCTTATCTCAGGTGAAAACCTTTGCTTCAAAACCCTAATTCTACCTTCTTTTTCTTTCCCTGTTAGGTTGCCGAGAAAGTTCAGGAAAAGAATAGGAAGCAATTGAAACCGCTAACTTTGTCTCCTTCCTTTTTGATTTGTTCACCTTTTTAAGTGTTTTCACCGCTTTTTAAGTTTTAAGTTTGCTTCAATTTTCTGTTATTTTCATGTTGCTTCAATATTTTTCACTAAATTGTTCGTTCTTGATATTACTTGCCTTTTGCTATTAAAGAAATAGAAATGAGATTTGTATTAAAGTTTAATATAATCGTCATTGGGTGATGTGAATTGAAATGAACTATTTCCAATTTTGATTATGATTTTTAGGCAATACTTTAAATTTCTTCTCTTTGTAGGTTAAAGCCACATGATTTGTTATGTTATGTCTAGCAATTTTTGTAAACTGGGCTAAAGTTTCCATTCAGTTTAGCGTGTAGTTTGCCTGGCTACCTTGGCGTTTTAACTGTTTGTAATGGTTTTGATTCTATTTACTCTTTTCTAATTCAACATAACTGGAGATACTCGCCCACTGTCTATGTTAAAGAACTTAGACATGGAATGTACTTCTGTAATCTCTAACAGAGTATGATATATAATTAACTAGAAGTTTAGAGGATCATATATGGTTAATTAAAAAGTTAAAGTTTTTCTTTTGTGTGAATGTAATCTTGCTCAATTGCGTGTGAATTGTGAGCAGTTTTTTTTTGTGAATGTAATTTCTCAATTGGCGTGTGATATGGTGAGCAGTTTTTTGCTTCAATAATTAGAAATGATTTCATGCAGGTTAATTGCAACACTTTTGGTAGCACACTTGTAACAAGAAAATACCTTCCCTAGGTATGGAAACTGAGGATATGATTGGCCTCCCTGCTTCCAGCAATTCTAGAGATAGCAGTGAGAGCGGTGAAATTCACAAGTCTGGATTTGGGTCAGGTGAAGCTGATTCTCAGCCTAGGAATTTTGAAGCTGAAGAAGATGTGGGTGATGGAGATAGTTTGAGGCTCAATAATGACGTTGATATTGATACAGAAAAAGGAATAAGAGGCCCTTGATTGTTTGGCGCTTGTCGAAGACGATACTGGAGCAGAAAAAATATTAGGAGATTCTGAGGTTTTGGACAGCAATGAAGATGATATTGGAACAGAAGAACATGTGACAAGATTAGAGAACGAAATATTAAGTTATTGATGCATTGAAATATATAATTTTCAACTAACATTTTATCCATCAAAGCATAATGGATTGGAAATATTGGTTTATATTTAAATTAATGCAAAGTAGCAAGAAATTGCCATATTTATCCAGCATAGCATTGCTCTCTCTACAAGTAGCAAGAAATTGCCATATTGCTAAAACACGTTATGTAATTCTTATTACTGTCATTTCCTTCTTTAGAAACAAATCAGGTGGGTTAGATCAAGCGATAATGTAATTATGGTGCATGTACTTTGTCGATTTTTTTTATTTATTTTAGTGTCTGAACAAAAAATTGTGATAATTGAATTTTTAAATTTGCAATTTTTTTCATTTTGGTGTCTTCTGATGAAATGAACTATTAGAAAATTTAATGCGACCGATTGGGATCCGTAAATACCTACGTATTCGCTTACATGGATTGACTATTTTTACACGTAGGACACCAATGTGGCAAAAGAGATAAAATGTCTAATTTGCCCCTCTTTAATGTATATCACCCTAAACACAAGCTAATACCCCATTTTGACTAACCAAAATCACGATTCAAACTTGCAGCACCTCCCTTTCTTCTTTTCTCCCCCGCTCTTCTTTTGTCTTTCTTAAAGATGGATTTTCGATTTTGCAAGTGTGGAATTGCATGCCAGTTTGAACATCATGGATGGAGTTGAATCCTAGGAGATTTGTTACTTGCAAGATTCAATTGATGAGTGTGTATTTATATGTGTGTATATATAACATAATATATATAATTTGTTTGAACTTTGAAATAATGATACTCCATTGAAATTTTTGAATGTAAAATTCATTTGCATTGATCAGAATATATTACATGGCAATTAAACTATGGTTAATTTATTTTTTAAATAAATCAAACTAAAAATTTTATTAAGAACTAAAAGATAAAAAAAAAACAATCTTGATTTGAATTATTTGATCAGGTTGACAGCGCATAATATTTGTGTCATAGGCGATCACTTGTTCCATTTGGTAACTATTCATGACCACTATTCGACTTCATGATTTTTCTACAAGTCTGATATGATTACCTTCAAACAAAATACTTAAATAAAACCGCCATAATGGTGACAGTAATAACTTAGAACAAAATTTCAAGATATATAGCAATAATAAATCTCAGTATTTTAACAATAATATTTTAATAGCTTCTTGTAACGGTTGTATGTGAGGAAGGAGTTATCTCACGTTGGAAAAACACAAAGTTTAATTGTGTTTATAAAAACAAGTTGGTTTGGAGGGACAGTTTATTGAAATCAAAATTTTCATAATGTGTTTATAAAAACAAGTTGGTTTGGAGGGACAGTTTATTGAAATCAAAATTTTCATAAAATAATATTAAATGTCTAAATAAAGTCTTTTCTTTCACTCCTTGAATACAAATAGAAATAAAGAACTATATGATTGCCCGTGAAAGAATAGGGAAAGGGGACCGTGACCATTTGTGGAATAATAAAAGAGAGTTTTAGGTTTTGAGCTTTGTTATTGTAAGTGTTGGTTAATATATTTTATAGAAAGCATAAATGTTGAAATTTATTTATAAAAAATATATTAATGGACAATATATGTAAACTATATATATGATTTAACATAAAACATGGCTAGTAATATCAACATTTGAATTTTAGGTCAATAAAATATTTAATTCAATGATTAGGTCAATAAAATATTTAATTCAATGATGTAAAATAAATAATTGAAATATAAAAAATTAATGTGAAATTGAGAATTAAATATATATGTAAAGGTGAAGATTAATTTTTCATGTATTTATAAAATTATGTTTTAATACATTAATCATAAAAGGTGCTATGTGACTCTTAAGAGGCCTTAATAAAAAATTTCGTATTTGAACTCTAAATATAAAATCCTTTTAAATACTTTAAAGAGAGAATTTTTCTTTTTTACGGGTATAATCTAAATTGGGAGTTTTAAACACATCGAACAAACAAAACTAAAAATAAAGGCTGCTAGATGGAGGAAGAGGTAGAGTCCAAATTTGACGATTAACAACCCCATCGAACAAAGAAAAAAGAGAACGCTATCGCTTTCACTCTCTATCATGCCCATAATCGAGTTTTAAAGCCGTCGTAAGTCAAACATTCCGTCTTTTGATTTATACGTACAATTTTATTATTTTATTTTTTACAATGTGTTTTAAATGCTACTTTAACTACTTGTTTAAAAACAATTGTAATATTCTATATAATTTTAGACTAATCAATATGGTACATATTTAATATCTATCTATTTAATATCTATCTTTCTAATACCATATTTATATCTATCTTTCTATACCATATATAAATATGAAAACAGGGAGAATAATGAGAATTTTAATATTGCTCTCAATGAAATTTTGAATATCTTAAAATAGCTGTAGGTATAACCAATTCGAACATTATATTTTATATCAATGAGTATTTAGACGAGTAGTTCGACACACTTCTCCCTTATGTGAGATCAAGAGTTTCATTCTCATGGATGGAGTAAATACTCACTGAGATTATTTTATCCCTTCTTGGACTGACCTAATGCAAACAGAATTTAGTTATAACTCAATGGGCTCGGGATACTTGTGGTTAAGACAAAAAATTACATTTTATTATTGATTGGATATAATTTCTAAAACTTATTTTTTATAAATATATATAATAAAAAGGAAAACAATATACTCTTTTTTTTATGGTTGTGTAGGAAAAAATTATGGATTTATTTGGAGAGGATACATCGGTTTCTTTTATGTAATCTTTTTTTATTACTGTAATTAAAACTATTTATTTATTTTTTATTACTTAATTAACTATTGGATCCTAGCATGATTTGCTTTGTAATTTTCATTTATTGACCTGGCTTTTTTCCATCAAATTCAAATTTAATTAAACTATAGCATTTTCAGAGTTATTTTGAAATTCAAATTGTAATTTTTTAATATAATTTATTAATAATATGCTTGAGTTCTTAAAAGAGTTTTTATTTCTAAATAAAATTTTTATTATTTATTATTTTCTATTTTCGTATTGAATTAAATTTGTAACTGCTGTCCACTTTAATTACGTAAGAAGATTTATATCCACTTGGCCTCATGATTAAGCCATTTTTAATTTTTTTAAATATTTTTTCTTTTATATCACTAAATATTATTGACCTTAAAAAGAATAGTGTATTAATAAATTATTAAAAAAAAACCATAATTATTATTTATATAGATGTGAATGTCTTAGGTGATGGTACTATTGGAATAATCGACAAGCCTCAACCAAAGAAAGGGTATCCATACAAACCTTATCCCCCGAAGAAAAAGCCGCCACCCAAGAAGAAGAAGAAGCCACCGATGTAGAAGCCTTGTTATCAATACAAGTCCCATGCTTACGAAACAAGTAGTTCTTGAAAATGGATTTCTGTACGTGTGGACAATAAATGTTCTCGATGTCACTGTCTTGAAAACTTTAATTTCTGGCTTAATTGCACTTTCTTAGTACTTATGTGTTGTTTGTACTTTGATTATAAAAAAAAAAATAGTATTAATGCAATGCAATAAAATTAGCCTATCCATATATATTTAAGTATATGGATTATTAATTTGATTTCTATTATATTAATTCCATTTTCAATAATGAAAGTTCCTTTCTTATCTATCTTAAGAAATGAAATGTATGTATATATCTGGTGATTGGGCTTGATGAATATTTGAAACGGAGTGCCTGTGGCCCTGGATATACTGCTGTGTTGAATAAATATGGTAGAACACTGAATGCCTAAATGGTTGTGGACCATAATATGTGGCATGAATGACTGAGGGGAGTTTTGAAGGTTGGTCAATGGTATCTGGCATTGAAGTTTCATCCGAACTTGCAGACATCTTATCAAAAGATATTGGTTGCAAATTCAAATCCTTTCTCTTCAAATAATATTATATGAATTAGGATTAAAAAAAAAAAAAATCTTTTAACTTTTTTAAAAATCTTCTAGACCTTTTTTCTTTTTTATATTATGTATGAAATTTGAAAATACACATATGATATACATCCAATAAATGTTATTTAATATTTATATAGACTAGCAAAAATATAGAATCATCTCCGGCACGAAGGTCTTTCTCCTAATGTGCATCCTCTTGGCTACCATTTTCTTTTCCCTTCTTTCTACAGCTAGGGAATTAGGTTGCTCAGATGGATAAGAGCCAGCTAACTAGCTAGCTACTTTGTATTTCCACAATTTAAAATATTATTGTTACCGGATTCTTATGATTTATGATGTGAATTTTACGATTCGATTCAATTTTCATGTTAAACAATTTGAATCTTATGGGTGAATCGGTATTAATCGCAAATCTTACGATTCAAGTCGATTCTCATATGCGACAATTTTCTTACCAAACAAATCTAACGAAAAAGTCAATATAGAGGAAAGAAGCAAGAGAATATAAGTATATTAGAAGAAAAAGATAAAGAAGGGCTTGAATTTGGAAATGATAATGAATAAATATGTTGGAAATGATAATGAATAAATATGGATTTAGATAAGAAATTTTAATGGCTTTATATTTTTACTTTGTTTTATATTAAAATTTTTAACTTGATAGTTTGATATTTTAAACTTGCAACACACAAGTCATTAAGTTTTCTTTCATATTGTATTTAGTAAATGATTTAGAATTGAAATTTATATAAATACATTATTTGCACTTAATATTTTGCATCATGTGACAGAATTAATGGAAATATATCCATATATATACATAATTAATTTGAAAAGTTATACTCAATCTTACGATTCGATTTTCGATCCTCGATTAAAAAAATAAAGATTCGATTCTCGATTTGATAATTATAGCGTTTAATTATATTTTTTTAAAGTGAAAAATAGTGTTTATGTATTTCACTAAATGAGCTACACTAGGAGATAGATTTGCTTATTCTTTGCTCAACATATTCAAATATATATGAAATGTTCTTGTAGAGGTTTCTGACCTTTACTCCTAAAATGGTTTTCGGAGAACCCTTTTTTTACCCAATTATTAGAGCTATTTTTGAGCCTAGACTAAATTTAAGAATGCAAAACAAAGGTCCAATCAATAAATTCTTACAATTTCTTTCACGTATTGAGAAAAACATGCAATCTAGAAAAATAAATAAAGTGAAAAAAATAGAGTAAAATATTGTTCATTTTGAATTTCCGATAAAAGATTCATCTAATAAATTTTATTGTTAGTTGATGATAATCTAAAAATAGATGTTTAGATTCAAATTTCATCGATATAGTTGAATGATAATCTAAAATAAGATGTTAGATTCAAATTTCATCGATATAGATTTTTTTTCATTCATTTAGGTATATTATAAAAAAAAATTTTTCTGATATGAGACAAAAAATATAATTCTCTCAATAATTGGTTCAATTGACAAGTCAACCTTGGCCACCTTTCCTTTTTTAGTAACAGAGAGATCAAACCTTGAAAATAAAATTTACTCTGCCAATACCAACTACTAGTTGATAAGTGGGATGAGGTGTTGGATCCCTTAAGCAACCTCCACGATTCAAACTGGTACTATTAATATAGAACACTGGATTGGAAGGGTCACTTCCATAATAAATCTCCGCAAAACCTAAAATTTAAGTCATTTTTGGAAGATTATTTTGTACCAAATTATTATATTTTGAGACAAATGGAGTTAATTTATTAATTTAAGTAATAACAGCTATACAATTGCTTGAAAAATCTATCTATGGATTTACTGTGGAGTCCACGTTGCAAATAATTGTGTATTTATTGTGGAAACAAGTTGTAATTGATTAAGTCTTGGCTTTATATATTTTTTAACATATAGTTGCAAATAATTATGTTATTACAATTCAAATTTGGCTTGCTGATTTATTACTATAAATAAGAGTACTCAAAGAAACACATAATTGCAAACAAAAATATAGAATCATCTCCAACATGAAGAAGGCCTTTCTCCTGATTTGCATTCTTTTGGTTACCATTTCCTTTTCCCCTTCTCTCACTTCAGCTAGGGAATTAGCTGCTATTGGGAAAGGTAAGAACTAGCTACCTAGCCAGCACTTTTTTATTAGCTGCTATTGGGAAAGGTAAGAACTAACTACCTAGCCAGCACTTTCTTTCAATAAATTTTTCGTCTCAGTAAGCAAATTCAAATATAAAATTTTATTATAACGTCTCTTACGCTTTACTCTTAAAATGTTTTTTTTAATAATATTTTTATTATTATTAAACCTGTTTACAGGCTAAGACTGAAGTAATAAACGTGTTTTTTTATAATAGTGCTGTTAAATTTATAATAAATATATGCAATGGAGAGTCGAAATTCTCCTTTTTTATAATTTCTGATGTATCTACCGACATGAATTAATATCAGATGCAAGAATACCAATTCCAAAAGGGTGGCCGCGGCCAGGTAAGCCAACACCCCTACCATTTCGATGCAGCCCTGGGAAGAAAAATTGTCTGCCTAAATTCCCTCCCAAAAGAAGAATGCATGCCCCACCTCCCCCACGTTGAGGCCCTTACATAAAGAAGGGTTGTGATTCTCATATTACGAACCCTTGAAAATATATATATATAATAATATATATATTAATATAATATATATATATATATATGATATATATATATATGGAAGTCATCTTCATTTTATACATAATAATAAATAAAATTTTAAAAAACAGTGTTGGCCCTCAAATATGGCCAATCAAATATGGTTTGGTTCACTTATATGAGGAGTGAGAAGTTTTAAGTTCGAGTCATTTTGGCTACAAGTGTTTTTATTATTTTAATGAGTCAATGGGAGAGTTACCCCTATTGTGTAGCCCACAGTGTTATTTTAGTCTATTGTCAATTATACGTCAAGACTTATATATGTATGCAGATGTTATCTTAGAACATTGCCTCTTCTTATATGAAGTTATTTATTTATTTATTTATTTACCTTGTGTTGCATGTCGTTTACATATTTATAATTTTACCTTCACATATTCAAATATATATGAAATCTTCTTGTAGAGGTTTCTGACTCTTGCTCCTAAAATGGTTTTAGGAGAACCTTTTTCACTTTTTTTTTAGCCAATTATTAAGAGCTTATTATGAGCTAGACTTTAAGAATGCAAAACAAAGGTCCAATCAAGAAATTCTTTCATGGATTGAGGAAAACACACAGTCTAAAAAAATAAATAAAGTGAAGAAATAGAGTAAAATATTGTTTATTTTGAATTTCAGATAAAAGATTCATCTAATAAATTTTATTGAATGATAATCTAAAATAATACGCGGAGATTCAAATTTTATCGATATATATATATTTTTTGGCATATTATAAAATTCTTTTTCTGATATGAGAAAAGAAGTATAATTTTCTCTATAAATAGTCAACTTTGATCACCTTTCACTTCCGGTAACAGAGAGAAAGATCAAATCATCAAATCTTGAAAATGAAATTTATTCTACGCAATATATTGATTTATTCGACAGTCCACTACTGAATCAAAATTTTCATCTCGCTAAGCAAATTCGAATATAAAATTTTCTTATAAAGTCTCTTACATTTTACTCCTAAAATGTTTTTTTAATAATATTTTTTGTTATTTTATAATATTATATTTTTATTATTAAACTGCTGTTTTACACCGGCCCAAGATGAAGTTTATAAATGTAAGATTTTTAATGAGATAGCGAATTTAATAATTTTTTTTACATAAATTAAAGTAATAAACAGTATTTTTTTATAAGATAGCTTGTAAAATTTTAGGATAAATATACAGCAATGAGAAACTGAAATCTCAGAGACTTTTTTAAATAATTTCCTGATGTATCTACCTAAATATTAATATGGAATAGCTAGGATTGCAGGAATAAAGAAGGAGCCGCCATTGTAGGTAAGGCCCAAAAAAACACTACCATTTTAGGTGCACAAGCCGATGGGAAAGAAATATTGTCTGCCTCCAATCCTCCCTAAAAAGAAAGAATCCCTCCAGAAAAAGAATCCCTGCCCCACCTCCCCCACCCTTGAGGCCCTACAAAAAAAGGGTTGTGATTCTCAAAACCATATATATAATAATATATATAAATATATATAAATATATAATATAATATATAATATATATAATATATATATAATATATATATATATATGAAGTCATCTCATTTTTTTACAAAAAGAAGGGTTGTGATTCTCATATTATGAACCCTTGAATATATATATATATATATATATGGTCTAGTTCACTTATATGAGGAGTGAGAAGTTTTAAGTTCGAGTCATTTTGGCTACAAGTGTTTTTACTAATTTAATGAGTCAAGGGGGAGGGCTACCCCTATTATGTGGTTCCGGACAATTTCAAAAATAGTGGAACCAGAACTGAACCATAGGCCATCGATTTCGGTTCCCATTTTCGGACCGATTTCGATTCCAATTTTCACTTGTTCAGAACCGACGATTCCCAAACATCTATCTATATTATATATAAATGTGGAAATAGGGAGAAGGGGAGGAATAATGAGATTTTCTATTTTGATCTTACCACAATTTAAAATATAGTAAAATAGCCTTAGTCATAGCCAATTCGAAAATTAAATTTTATACCAATAAGTATTTGGATAAGTAATTCGATATTCTTCTCCCTTAAGTGAGGTCGAGGGTTCAATCCTCATGGATGAAGCTTATACTCACTAAGAGCACTTTACCCCTTCTTGGGCCGACTCAGTGTGAGCATAATTTAATTATAACCAAGTGGCTCGGGATACATGTGGTTAAGACAAAAAAAAAAAAGAAACATCACATTTTATTTGATTGGATATAATTTCTAAAAATTTAGGAAATTTTAATGGCTTCATAGTTTTACTTTGTTTTATGTTAAAATTTTGAACTTGATAGTTTGATATTTTAAACATACAACACGCAAGTCATTAAGTTCTCTTCATTTTGTATTTAGTAAGTGATTTAGAATTGAAATTTATATAAATACATTAATTATTTGCACTTAATTTTTAGTATCTTGTGGCAGAATGAATACTGAATCTTATGATTTGATTCTCGATCCTCGATTTTAAAGATAAAGATTTCGATTGTGGATTTGATAACTATAGTGTATAATATTATGTTTTTTTGAAGTAAAAAATGGTTTCATTAAATGAGCTTTTTTTGAAGTAAAAAATGGTTTCATTAAATGAGCCACAGGAGATAGATTTGCTTATTCTTTGCTCAACATATTCAAATATATATGAAATCTTCTTGTAGAGGTTTTGACCTTTACTCCTAAAATGGTTTTTTTGGAGAACTTTTTTTTTCCCCCAATTATTAGAGCTATTTATGAGCCTAGACTAAATTTACGAATGCAAAACAAAGGTCCAATTAAGAAAATCCTACAATTTCTTTCACGGATTGAGAAAAACACAGAGTCTAGAAAAATAAATAAAGTGAAGAGTAAAATATTGTTCATTTTGAATTTCTGATAACAGATTCATTTAATAAATTTTATTAAATGATAATCTAAAATAAGATGGGAGATTCAAATTTCATGGATATAGATTTTTTTTGGTATATCATAAAATTCTTTTTCTGATATGAGAAAAAGAAGTAATTCTCTGAATAAATGGTTCAATTGATGAGTCAACTTTGATCACCTTTTACTTTTCATCAAGAGAGAGGTTCAATCTTGAAAATGAAATTTCCTCTACGCAATATTTTGATTTATCCGACAGTCTACTACTGAATATTTGGCTATGTCTTGCATTGACCTGGAGTCTGTGAATGTCTTTTCTACAGTGTCAATGCCGGACTGCAAACAGTCCGGCCGGACCGAAGGCCATTTTGGACATTTACTGGAAGTATGTCAATATGGTATTTATTTTAATAGCCATACAATTGCTTGGAAAAATGTACGGAGTCAAGTAGTAATTAAGTCTTTGGCTTTATATATTTTTTAACATATACTGCAAATAATTATGTTATTAGAATTCAAATTTGGCTTGCTGATTTATTACTATAAATATAGGATCATCTCCAACATGAAGCGGCCTTTCTCCTAATATGCATTCTCTTGGCTACCATCTCCTTTTCCCCTTCTCTCACTGCAGCTAGAGAATTAGCTGCTATCGAGAAAGGTAAGACCTAGCTATCTCTTAAAAATGTTTCCTTGGAATAATCTTTTTTTTATTATTATTATTATAGACCGAAACTGAACTTAAATATGTAAAAATTTACAAAGGTTCAAGCTAGACGAATTTATAATTTGTTTTCCTTGTAGCCCTTACATAAGGAAGGGTTGTTCTCATGTTCCGAACCCTTGAATATATATACATATATATATAAAATGAAGTTATCTTCATTTTATATATGATAATGAATAAATAAAAAGGAGAGTGTTATAAATAAAAGTTGAGAGTTGTTATGTAGATACTTGCAATCTATTATTGTCAATTTAGTTTTTAATAATTTACTGAGGTGTTAAATCATAGAATTGTCCTTTCTTCGTTTTTATAATGTAGTATTTTTTATTTTGACTTGCGTTGCACGTTGTTGTAGGATTATTTTTATAATTTTAATCTTTATATAATTATATATTATATTTTATCCTATGACATAATGTAAATATGATCAACCGTTTTTATTATTAAAGTATGTTTGAAGCAGTATTATTCTATTATATTTTTTAAATTGATTGGAATAAGTTAGATTGGGGTAAAGAATTTAAATGGTTTATAAAAATGAAATATCAAATTATTTTGATGTTGGCACCAATTATTCTTTTAATTCCTTGAAGGAATAATATATAATACTTTTTGTCGAAATAATGTAATATATATTTGTTATTCACGTGTCCGTTGAATACTCGCCCGATATTTTGATTCAAAATGAGGCGGGTAGAAATTTTATTATTTAGATTAAGTAGAACGGAATATGAAAGTTTATATTATATTTAAATATATATATATATATAATTTAAGAAAGAGGCGGATGTGAATTAAAATATATACATATATGACATGGTTATGACCTGCTCCATTTTATTTAAAAACATTAAGCCAATGTTTTCTATTTCTATTTTTATTTTCCTAACTCTCACATAAGATAAACTCTTGATTTAATATTTGTCATTTGTTGATTGAAAATATTTAATCGTGTGATAATAATCTAAACTAAGAAGAGAAATTCAAATCTCACCGATATAGAAATTTAAAAAAAAAAAATTTGGGATGATAAAATTAAAATTATTTTTCTGGTATGAGAAAAAAAAGTATACTTCTCACAACAAAATGGTTCAGTTTTCAATTGGCGCAGTCAACCCTTGTCTCTTTTCCACAACAAAGAACGAACAAATTTTGGAAAAGAAATGTTTTGCACAGAATCTGCAGTGTACTTTAAATAATGACTAATGCACAGTAATAATAAGACCTATTTTATTATAGTAAATTTACCCAAATGCATAAATTTATTTTGCACTTTATATAAAAATATTTTGTGGTACTTTTAATTTCTACTTTGATCATTGAAAACTTTAATTTATAAAATTATATAATTAAACACTTTAATATAAATATTTTTTATACTAAATATTTTAATTTATAAAATTAAATCGATTGAATATTTATTAGATAGTTAAAAATTGTGAAAAATTGTTCTTGTAAAAATTATAGTAACCAAAATATAAAATCAATGCTTTTACATAGAAAAGTCAAAAATAAAAAAATGAATGTTACATTGTTTGAAAGCTCCAAAATCATATATAGATGAGAATTTTGTTCTTACACATTAACATAAGAAGAAGGAAAAAACATATTTATTATTTCAATTTAATTAACATAAAGAGAAGGAAAACATATTTATTTTTCATTTATTTATTAGTAATTTTCTAACATATTTATTATTTCAATTTAATATAATTTCTTTTCAACGTCCCACGATGATTATTGAATTTCTTCTCATTATTATTGTATTTCCTTCCTTATTCCATTCAAGCTACTAGACATATAAATAGAAATATTTATTTTTATTACTATTCCATTTTATTTGTGTATTTCGCGTTTTCTTATCACAGTAAATACCACTGTAAAGAAAAAATGATTCTTTTTGTACCCCAATATATCACAGTCGGCTACCGACGAGTGGTCTTTAGTCTTGCTTTTTGAAACTATAGTATGCTTGTTCGTCATTCTTAGTTTTGATGATTTGGAATATTTAGAACTTAAAAGGTCAACTTCAATGGATGATTCTTGATTTGCATAAACTAACGAGTAAAGTTAATTAAGTTATTTAATTTTTTATTTTTTTTCAAAAATATTTTTAAGATACAAATAAATCATGCTGTTAAGAGAAAATTTTTTGAATAATTAGTTTTATATAGCGTGTTTTTTATATTATTGATTATAATCTATATAAATATTACATTTAACTTTTTTTTGCTATATTATTGGAGTAGTATGTATTTTACCATTTTTATACTTTTATTGTTAAATAAACATTTGAGAATTTTCATATTTCTTAAAATTAAGGAAATAAATTAATTGCAATAGCTTAATGACGAATATTCCCCATTCCTCACTGAGTTTAATATCTTGGAATTTAGAAATATTTGATTTTTTTATTGAAATCCGACTTAAGTAATGTAGAACGCAAAAAAAGAAAAAAAAAAGAAAGGACAAAAACAAGAAAAGAAACAATGCATGGATGAAATTCTAATTCCCTAACCGTGCGCAATAATCATTTCCCCGCCACAAAGCACAGGATGCAGTTATTTAACGTTTTAACAATTTTGAAAAACTTTAAGGAAACTGTATATCACCAAACCCTAGACATCTGCAATTCTTTCACTGCAATTTTGGGAAATTAATTATTCTATGCCAATGTCAAACTATATTGCCTTCTCTTTTTGCCGCTAATCACTGTCTTGCTACTTCTTCACATTTTGTGGTCCAGAAATTCGCGCCAGTTTAGATTTCTCTCTCTTTGGTTTTCTTCCAGTGGTACATGAAATTTTTAATGTGCAATACTACTTTTTGGATGCTTAACCCTAAATTATTCTCTTGATTTTATGTGCAAAGGTACCTCAACAAGATCCTACTGCTAGGCCTTTTCGTAAACTCTTAGTTGGTGATGATTGCGCAGGAATTTATTACTTGTTTGTGAAAGAAATTTTTTGCATTTGTAAAGTAAATGGGTCAATTTCTCTGACATTTACATTTTGTACTCAATGCCATTTGCAATGTTTATCTAGGTCCTGTTCATTGGCGGTAGAAGGAAATTGGTAAGTAGCAATTTGTAATATTCTCTCTATCGTTCTTCTATCTATCATATGTGCCAACTGTGGTAGACTCCATTCATGGTTTTTGGTAGTTATTTATATGGTTCAAGAAAACAGAGTCCTGAACTATAAGTTTTCTGATGAATGCGACAACTTCACTACAGGCAGAATATCTTTTTTTGGTCCCTGTAAAAGGGGCAAGAAGGTGGAGGAGAAAATTATTGGCTTGTATGAACACAATGAGTTCATATGTGTTGATCAAATTATCAAGAACCAAGGGCTATTTCATATTCGATGAGTGGGACAGTTGCTATGGAGTGTACGACCTGTGATCTCTCAATTTGATTATAGTCTTTGGTCTGCAGATAATGGTAATTCCAGATTGCTATTTTACTTCTGTTCTTGTGATTGATCATTGTCAGGTCTAGTATATATTGTAAGGTTTTTGCTCTTACCTTTTTCTTTTTGTAATTTTGCGGGTTTTAGTTAATTTTTGGTTTTGAATTATAAATGAGTTAATTGAGATCTTACAACCTGCATTACACCTGCAGATTTCAAATAATGCAGGGCAGATTTATTCTGTGTCCCTTCATAGTCCTCATTTTAATTGGATCCATGATTTAAGCTCATTTGACAAAAATTTCAGTCTAATTTCTGGTAATAATGGTCTTCTGTATGTTATTCTGCCCATCAAGGCTCTTGTGTTGGCATTAGATGTTTCTATGGGCAATCTTTTATGGCAGACAAGTATTGGACCTTTAAGTGCAGCTGAAGGTGCAGCAATGGTGGATTCTAATGGTAAAGTTGAGTTACAGATGAACAGTGACTTCTAATACAACTAAAGTACAATAATATAGGAATCAAACTCAAAATTGAAGATCTCAATGGCAGGTTGGATATCTCTTGGTTCATTGGATGGATTTCTCTACTAAATCTCACCAAATGGAGTTGTGAAGAAATTTTCAAAAGAATCTGAACTAAATAATGTTATTCAAGTTAGTCCATTACTTGATTGTTCTGGCTACGCAGTTTACATATGTCAAACAGAGATGGAAGGAAAGGTTAGTCAAGTAATTGGGGAATACAATTATATCTCAGCTTTGAAGCCGTCAAACAGAGATGGAAGGAAAGGTTAGTCAAGTAATTGGGGAATACAATTATATCTCAGCTTTGAAGCCTAAAGGTGTTGTCTTCACCTTGTTGGTTCCAGCAACTGGAGCTGTCTACTGGTCTGAAAGCTATCCTGGTAATTTTTTTTCAGTCTTGATTTTGGCATGAAAAGATTTTAATTAATGGAGTTTCTATCTCATTATCTCCAAAAGACTCTCAATGTGCTCTCTTGCAGATCAATTTCCATTGTTATTGTCTCAAAGTGATTTGCAGCATTTTGTATTGGATGAGGGAATCCTTCTTGCATTTATTGCTGCTTCAAGTGAGATTCTAACACAATCATAAACTAAACCCTAAATAAACTAAACCCTAATCAACTGGGATAAAAGTTAACAAATGGTATTATATTAAACTGACTTATTTTATTAGTAAACTTGACTCTAACCGGTGTTCGAACTCGAGATTTCCATATTTTATACACGATTACAGTACAAGCACTAAAAATTTTACACATACATATACAATTTTATTGTTACTCATTTCTAGATAATTGTTTGCTATAAAATTTTAAATTAATTAATTGAATAAATCATTGGTAATTAACCAATCACAGACTATGTTCTTCTTATGTGTTGTTGAACTTACACTTTGGCTTTTGTGGATGACATGCAGAGGTAGGCAACCCACTACCATGCCGCAGCAAAGGTTCTTTTTCTTTTTAATCTCTTCTTGTAAATTTTCTTGATGATCATATGATATAAACCACGACAATCTTTTTTATTTATTTATTTTGTGATCAGATGAGTTATTTTATTTATTTATTTTGTGATCAGATGAGAAGCTTGTATCTACCTGCTCACAAGCAAGGCCCAAGCATCCAAAAAATTACACGGGCAAGCTCTATAATTCTATAAACATTGAAAAATTATTTAACAATTATTAAAAAGTTGATATGAAAAGCTGTATTGTTTTACTCTTGATTCAGGTAATGAGAGAACAATAATGTTGTTTCTGGTATTTGAGTCCACAGTGTTGGTGATTTTAGCTGGGCTTGTGCGATTTTGCTGCATATTTTGGGGCAAAAAGAAACTTCAAGATCAAGATTTGGGAGATTTTCTTGAAAAGAGAGTAAGAGCATTCATATGTTCTGCATTAATTCTTTGCATAAACATATTTTTCACATTTTCCGATATATAAAAATTAATATCATAAAATATTCGAGTGTCTGTCTTGTAACACAGAAAGATAAATCTTCAAATTCTGATACTTCTTCCCTCTTTGAAAAATGTTCAGCGATCTCTCCAGCTCAAGAAGAAAGCATTCGATAGGACGATAACAGAACTACAACAAAAGGCTGCAGAGGAAGCAGTGGCAAATAATGTGATAGAAGAAATGGGAGATCAGTGGCCAAAATATGTGATGATTAAAGAAATGGGAGATTTGTATTACAGGAAAGAAACCGTAATTGAAGGATAGCTCTTCAACGACATACAGTTGGGCAGAGATGGCCATGGCCTTCCAAGTCAAACCAACCTATCCCTTTCAGTAATGCGAATGAAAAACAAAGGAGTTTACTCTTTTCATAGTGTAAAGAAAGAAAGTGTTACTATTTTTCAACACATCTAAGTTGATACATCTCTGTAAGGAAGCTAGCAGCTTGAGAGTATGATTATAAGTCCAAGGCAAAAGAATCCAGTACATTATTGATGCAGAAATGATAGTTCAAGTATGATGAGTATTGGTAATGATGACTCACCAAATTCATCAGAACCAGTAGCATCGAGTTCAAGGAAGTAATAGAGTTTCTTGTGATGAATGGAGAAGAGGTGCAATCACAGAAACAAGTGGAAGAAGAAGCATATGATAAGTGGAAGAAGAAGCATATGGTTGAAAAGAAGGAGGGCTTTGTCTTCAACTGACTAGCAACAATTTAATTTTGAAGTTTCGAATGTTTTTGAGTAATTTTATAACAATGCAACTGGCATGAACTAAAAACATACCTTACCCAAATAATTGGCAAGTATCATTCTTTGCTTCTATATATATATAACCCTCGATTCCTAATACGAAATTTCCAATTGCAATCGATTTCAATGATATTTTGGTTTCGGCAATTTTTTCGTAAGCTACATATTTTTTTCATTTTTAGGAAAAATAAGAAATTCAAATAGAAATTTGAGCAAATTTTAATAAAATTATTTTATTTTAAATATTAAATTTATCAAATATTAAATTTATACTTATTAATTAAGATGTATCCGTATCTAGATTCTTATTTGGAACTAATTTCGAATGCAGCTTATTTTTTTCCATTTTATTCTATTCTAGTCAGATTGCATGAAATTGAACCAATGCTCTTTATCTTAAAAATAATATTTCAAGAATAGTAGTCCTATAAGCAATTTTTTTAAAGATCTTATTGAACTTAAGTCCCAGCCACGTTGTAGAATGGTATCTAGAATTGTTAGCGTATAGGTATGGTACTAGATAAAATAGCGTATAAAATTTGTACACTTAAAAGAACTAAATGAGCAAACTTTAAAAATTAATTTATACACGGAATTGGCTTCACCCTAAATATGAATTAAATAAGTGAATATTATCACCGGATCAAATGGGTTAAAATACAATTCCCAAGAAGAAGAAGCCACCCAAGAAGAAGAAGCCACCGATGTAGAAGCCTTGTTATCAATACAATTCCCATGCTTATGAAACAAGTAGTTCTTGAAAATGGATTTCTGTACGTGTGTTGAGAACTTTAATTTGTGGCTTAATTGCACTTTTTTAGTACTTATGTGTTGTTTGTACTTTGATTATAAAAAAAAGACTATTAATGCAATAAAATTAGCCTATCCAAATGCAATAAAATTAGCCTATCCATATATATTTAAGTATATGGATTATTAATTTGATTTCCATTATATTAATTCCATTTTCAATAATGAAAGTTCCTTTCTTATCTATCTTAAGAAATGGAGTGTATGTGTATATCTAGTGGTTGAGCTTGGTGAATTTTTGAAACGGAGTGTCAGTGGCCCTAGATATATTGGTGTGTTGAATGAATATGGTAGAATACTGGAGGAACTGACACTGAATGCCTAAATGGTTGTGGACCATAACATGTGGCATGAATGACTGAAGGGAGTTTTGAAGGTTGGTCAATGGTAGCTGACGTTGAAGTTTCATCCGAACTTGCAGACATCCTATCAAAAGATATTGGTTGCAAATTCAAATCCTTTCATCCCTTTCTCTCACGCAAATAATATCATACGAAATTAGGATTTTTTTTTATTTAAAAAAAAAAAAATCTTTTGAACTGTTTAATATTTATGTATGAAATTTGAAAAATACACATTGATATGTACTCCAATAAATTGTTATTTAATATTTTATATAGACTAGCAAAAATATAGATTCATCTCAGCACGAAAAAGGTCTTTTTCCTAATATGTCATACTCGGTTTGGCTACACCATTTTCTTTTCCCCTTCTTTTCTACGGCTAGGGAGAATTAGCTTGCCTCGTTCAGATGGATTAGAAACCAGCTAACTAGCTAGCTACTTTGTATTTCCCACAATTTAAAATATTATTGATTACGGGGAATTCTTATGATTTATGATGTGAAATCTTAAACCCGATCGATTCAATTTTTCCATGTTAAAACAATTCAAATCTTACGGGTGAATCGGTATTGATCGCATCTTACGATTCAAGTCGATTTTTATATCCTAACAATTTTTCTTATGCAAATAAATCTACACGAACAAAGTGCAATACAAGTCAAGTACAGAGGCAAAGAAGCAAGAGAATACCTAAGTATAAATTAAGAAGAAAAAAGATAAAAGAAGGGCTTTGAATTTGGAAATGATAATGATAACATGGATTTTTGGAATAAGAAATTTTAATAGGCTTTATATTTTGGTACTTTGTTTTAATATTAAATTTTTAAACTTGATAGTTTGAAATATTTTAAACTTGCAACATCAGTAATTAAAGGTTCATTTTCCAATTTTGTATTTAGTAAAAATGATTTTAGAATTGAAATTAATTATAAATTACATTATTTGCACTTTAATTTTTTTGCGCATCGTGTGACAGAATAAGGGAATAAAAATTTCGATTCTCGATTGATAACTATAGCGTTTTTAATTATCTTTTTTTTAAATGGAAAAAAATAGTGTTTTTTTTTTTTTTTTTGCTTTTTTTTTTTTTTTTTTTGCTCAACATATTCAAATATATATGAAATCTTCTTGTAGAGGTTTCTGACCTTTTCTCCTAAAATGGTTTTAGAAGAACCTTTTTTTTACCCAATTATTAGGCTATTTTTGAGCCTAGACTAAATTTAAGAATGCAAAACAAAGGTCCAATCAATAAATTCTTGCAGTTTCTTTCACGGATTGAGAAAAACATACATTCTAGAAAAATAAATAAAGTGAAAAAAATAGAGTAAAATATTGTTCATTTTGAATTTCTGATAAAACGTTCATCTAATAAATTTTATTGAATGATAATCTAAAATAAGATGTTACATTCAAATTTCATCGATATAGATTTTTTTTTCATTTATTTAGGTATATTATAAAATTTTTTTGTGATATGAGACAAAAAATATAATTCTCTCAATAATTGGTTCTGAGACAAAAAATATAATTCTCTCAATAATTGGTTCAATTGACAAGTCAACCTTGGCCACCTTTCATTTTTTAGTAATATAAAGAGATCAAATCTTGAAAAAAAAATTTACTCTACTAACACCAACTACTAGTTGATCAGTGGGATGAGTTGCTGGATCTCTTAAGCAACGTCCAAGATTCGAACTGGTACTGTTAATATAGGAACACTGGATTGGAAATGTCATCTCCATAATAAACTTGTGCAGAACCTAAAATATAAGTCATTTTTGGATGATTATTTTGTACAAATTATTATATTTTGAGACAAATGGAATAATTTATTAATTTATTATAACAGCTATACAATTGCTTGGAAAAATCTATCTATGGATTTACTGTGGAGACTGTGGAGTCACGTTGTAAATTGATCCAAAGTTCTTTTGGGCTTTATATATTTTTTAACATATTATGTTGCAAAATAATCATGTTATTACAATTCCAAATTTGGCTTGCCTGATTTTTAACTATAATAAGAGTACTCGAAGGAAAACACATTAATTGCAAACAAAAATATAGGAATCCATCTTCCAACATGAAGAAGCCTTTCTCGCTGATTTTTGCATTCCTTTTGGCTACCATTTTCCTTTTCCCTTCCCTCAACTTCAAGGCATTAGCTGCTATTGGGAAAGGTAAGAACTAACTACCTAGCCAGCACTTTCTTTCAATAAATTTTTCGTCTCAGTAAGCAAATTCAAATATAAAATTTTATTATAACGTCTCTTACGCTTTACTCTTAAAATGTTTTTTTTAATAATATTTTTATTATTATTAAACCTGTTTACAGGCTAAGACTGAAGTAATAAACGTGTTTTTTTATAATAGTGCTGTTAAATTTATAATAAATATATGCAATGGAGAGTCGAAATTCTCCTTTTTTATAATTTCTGATGTATCTACCGACATGAATTAATATCAGATGCAAGAATACCAATTCCAAAAGGGTGGCCGCGGCCAGGTAAGCCAACACCCCTACCATTTCGATGCAGCCCTGGGAAGAAAAATTGTCTGCCTAAATTCCCTCCCAAAAGAAGAATGCATGCCCCACCTCCCCCACGTTGAGGCCCTTACATAAAGAAGGGTTGTGATTCTCATATTACGAACCCTTGAAAATATATATATATTATATATATTATATATATATAATATATATTTTGGTCACTCTCATCTTTTACATAAAAATATAAATAAAAATAATTGAAGTCATCTTCATTTTATACATAATAATAAATAAATAAAAATAAGTGTTATGGCCAATCAAATATAGTTTGGTTCATTTATACGAGGAGCGAGAAGTTTCAAGTTTGAGTCATTTTAACTATAAGTGTTTTTATTAATTTAATGAGTCAATGGGAGGGTTACCCCTATTGTGTATCCCGCAGTGTTATTTTAATCTATTGTCAACTATACGTCAAGACTTATATATGTATGCAGATGTTATCTTAGAACATTGCCTCTTCTTATATGAAGTTTTTTATTTATTTACTTTGTGTTGCATGTCGTTTACATACTTATAATTTTACCTTCACATATATAATTTGTTATCATATGATCAACCGTTTGTATTATTAAACTCTCTCACAGTATAATCATATTTTAAATTGATTGGATAATTCAAATTTGGATAATTCAAATTGAGGTGAGAATTAATGGTTTAAATTGAAAAATCAAATTGTTTTTTGATTTGCACAATGATTCTTAAACCTTGAACGAAATAATAATACTCAAAAGACAGTTAATATTTTTTAATTTTTAATAAATCAAAGGTGTAAAGAAAAAATTAAAAAAAAAATCTTAAAAAAATAATTCTTAAGGAGTGAAAATATTAAAATGACTATTAATGCCTTCCAATTTTTGGATATCTAATACAATGTTGGTGGATAGGTAAAATATTTTCTTTTGTTTAATTTAACAAAAAAAAAAAAATGTATTCATTGTTTTCTGGCAAAACCATCCTCTGGACACCTATTAACAGGTAAAAAATAAATACATAAAAATATGCAAAGATAATTATATAAGAGATAAAATATGCAAAGATAATTATATAAGAGATGTTATTAGTGTAAAATTTACAATTGAAAATAAACAAATTATATATGCATTGCCTCTTCCAATGATTTAATGAATTTGTTAATTGGATATCCAATTGGGTATTTCACCATTATTAAAAGGTAATAATACTGCAATATACTTTAAATTGTACATTAAAAGGTTTTGAATATCCAATCCTAAAATTAGAATTTGGCCTAT